TGAGGTGCGGCGGGGCGAGCGGCCGGCTCAGTCGCTCTCGCTGGAGTCGCTGCTCTGCTCGCCCTGCACCTTGTTGCGGTGCTGCATGGCGCGGTGGTAGGCGATCTGCACCGACTTGCGGATGTTGGACTTGCGGCCCTCCAGCATCTTCTCCTTGTCCAGGTCCTGGTTCACCCCCAGAGGCACCAGCTTCGTCCGGGGCAACCACTGCCTGCGGGGAGCGGGAGGCCACCTCGTTTGAGGGTTACAATCGTCTCTAGACAACCCCCCCCCAAAGCCCCCAGCGCCCCGGCCTTACCAAGTGCGCTTGTTGTCGAAGAAGAGGACAAGGTAGAGGTGCTCGCGTGCTTCCTGAGTCATCTGCTCCCCCAGCTTCAGCACCTCCAAGGGGGGCACGGGGATGGGGACGCCGTGGTGGAACATGCCTTCCCGTGGCATCTTGGGGTCGATGATCTGCCGAAAGAGCAGGGGAGGGGGCTGAGAAGGGAACAGGGACCCCACACAGGGGGATGTGGGTGTTGGAAGCCCCAACAGCAGGTGGGAGCATGTGGCCGGCAGTACTCACCAGCGCCGGGTAGGAGGGGTACCCCCGGCACTTGGCCCACACCAGGTCCAGGGCATCCAGGGAGGAATCCTCGTCCTCAGACAGCCACCCTGCACCACGTCCCATGCCTTTACGCACCACTGTGCCGAAGGAGAGGAGAGAGGGGAGTTAGGTGTGGCCCTCACCACGCACCAGCACCAGCCGGGCTCACAGCTGCACAGTACTTACTGCCGTGCCCCACACCTCGCCCTGTGCCCACGGAGTAGGACTCGTTCTCGGTCCCTGACGTGTCCTCACTGCTGTCCTCTGGGAAGTTCACTCGGGAGAAGGAGGGCTTCCCTCTGCCCTGCTTGGAGGGCGTTGTGCTATGGAGAGAGGGAGCAGAGCTGTCAGTAGGAGCCACATTAAGCTTTCAGAAACTGCTTTCGAGAGGGCCAGCGTGGCGGGATGCCACGGCTTGTGGGCTCCAACCGCTGGCCTCAGCACTGGGACGGACTCAGCAAAGGTAACAGGAAAAAAGGTGGGATGGTGCTTCTGCCAGGGCGCCAGCCAGACCCTCACCCAGTTTCACCTGGGAGGATGCAGAAATTGTGCACTGCTCCAGATCAGGGCCACAGGCAGGAATCTGCTGGAGCTAGCTGTGCGGGATGCCACGGCTTGTGGGCTCCAACCGCTGGCCTCAGCACTGGGACGGACTCAGCAAAGGTAACAGGAAAAAAGGTGGGATGGTGCTTCTGCCAGGGCGCCAGCCAGACCCTCACCCAGTTTCACCTGGGAGGATGCAGAAATTGTGCACTGCTCCAGATCAGGGCCACAGGCAGGAATCTGCTGGAGCTAGCTGTGGAAGGGCTGATACTGGGGCAGCCGCTGTGACAGGAGGGAATTCCCCAGTTCATGGTCCCTACTAGCCCTTTGCTGCACACTCACACCTTCAGGTTTCACATTAAAAAAAAGGGCACAAACCCCACAGTTTTCTAGGGTTTAGCTACCAGCAGCCAGGCCACAGGAGGGTGAATGAGATAGGTACTGTCAAACGTGCTCCTTGTCTAGCAGAGAGCCACCCACTGCCACTCTGGGCAGCACCAGTGACATCAGAGCCAGGCCAGGGATGGTCCCTGGTCCGGTCCTAGGCGGCACTGCTGCTGCTGCTGCTGCTGGATTCCGAGTCGGAGCTGCTCCGGGGAAGATTGCAGTCGTTGCGGTACACCAGGAAGCTCTTCTTCACTGGCTGGTTCCCGCTGCTGAAACCGTTGGCTGGCAGGTCTGCAAAACACCCCACCAGAAGAGCGTTACAACCCCTGGGGACCCCACCACACACTCCAGGCGGGGCCGCGGCCACCTGGCTGGGCAGGGGGAGCTACTACACCTACCCATAGGAGCATCTTCGGTGGACTTATCACTGTCACTGTCCGAGCTGGAGCTGGGGCGCGGGCTTCGTCCTCGCTTCCTCTGCCGCTGGGAAGACCCCATTATCGGGAGCTGGGGAGGCCCGACAGGGCTGTTCCCGTGCCCCGGAGTGATCTGGCTGTCTCGATTCTTCGGGGGGCGTCCTGGACGTTTTGGAGGGCCTGCAGTTTTAGGGTTCTTCTTGGAGAAGAGCACTGAGGTCCTCCTCCCAACTTCGTGTGCTGGGGTGGAAGAAGAATTGGGACCCAGACCTGGAAGCGAGAGAAAGCATCGGCTGCAGCCCGTGGGACCTGGCAGGGACCACATGGCAGCACCAGCACTGAACAGCTTCATTTCTCAGGAATGTTATCTCAGAAGATCCACCATCCCGACCTTTACCATGCCTGCGCCCTCAGGGTCAAACTATCCAGTCTGCTGACAGTAAAAGCTAGATGGGGACATCAAAGAACACTCCACCATCCAGGGATACCCTCCTTTGTCCCAGGTAGCAACCTCACAGAAACAGAAGTCAGGAACAGGAAGGAAGTAGGAATAAACTTTTCCTGTGACATGTAGCAGCACATGCTCCACTGCACTCTTGAAAGACAAAGGCCCTAAAATGATCCCTGTTTGCAGAAGAGCCTTCTTTTCCCAGTGCTTAGCGGAGCACGACTGAGATGCAGAGGTGGCAAACTCCCAGTGACACCTGGCAGCTCTGCCTGGAGCTTTGGCTGTGCTCCCCATGGAGCCCAGCTCAGCATCTCGGTCCAGGAGAGCACGGAGCTGGTGGTTGGCTGACGTTCAGTTCCCAGCCCCAGGAGGGCACCTGGAGCTCGGCAGTCAGTGCTGCTCCAACTCCCTGCTGTGCCCCCAAGCAGGAAGGGACACCGAAGGCAGCCTGCTCCATAATGCCCCTAGAGAAACCAAGCAGTGTGGCAGAGCTGGCAGGAGAAAATAATCCATCTCATGCCCCACATCACACAGCTGGGACTCTCAGTCTCTGGAACGACATGCAGTTCCTCTGCCACGTGGGAGGTGAGCTCACTGGGTGAACACTGACCGCAGCTGCGAACACCAGCAACCTGCCAGCCCTCCCCAGAGGCAAACGCACACCAGACTGTGGCTGTCCCTGATGCAGGAGGTGGCCTCCTTCAGCTGCCAACCCCCCTGCTTGGCAGGCACAGCTTACTACAAACTATCCAGCAGAGCACCGGCCTCAGGTGGGCACACCAGGAGGGAGCTCGGGGAGGCACAGACATTGTACTCTGCACCCACCCCTACGGGAAATGAGGGACCCCTGCAGGGGAACAGGAGATAAGGGATTGCCCCGCCAGAGGCCATCTGCCCTGCTCCTCAGGAGAAGCAAAGAGCGAGATGTGTGTGGGGAGCTGCCCACATGGCCCTCCTGCCTCGGGGGGTACCTGGCAGGGCAGCCTTTCCCCCAGCCAAGCCCATCCACAGGCGGTTCTCCACCGCTCCCCCAAACTGGAAGTATTTTGAAGGGACCAGTACCTTTGCCAGTCTCCTGGCTGCTGCTTTCTTCTGCAGCGCTGTCTGTCTGCAGGTCCTTCTCACAGGGGTTGTGCGACTGCAGGACTCCCCTGGCAGAGGAGCTGTGCCGCTCCAGCCCATCTCGGCCCAGGTCCCGTGGGTGAGCAAGTTTACGCCGTAGGACTGTGATCTCCTTCTTGATCATCTTGGCCCGGCGGGACCGTCCTATGCTCTGCTTGCCAGCGTTGACCTCATCCAGCCGTTCCAGCAGGATCTTCAGCTGCTCCTCCAAGGGCAGGTGCTTCTGATTCTCTGAGAGCAGCAGCCGCACATCTTCTGGGGGAGCAAAGGGGAGCAGACGGATGAAGGAAATCAGGAACACTTTGGAGCTCCTTTATGTGAAAGGGCATGGGGCAATCCAAGTTCCCCACAGGAGGGAAGTAGCTGACATGTTACCAAACACTTGTGAACATGGCAAGTTACCCTAAAGGACCTGGAGAAGGAGCCCTGTGGGAGGCAAGCCAGTTGGGAACTGCTGGGGAAGGCAGGCTGATCAGCAGCTTGGAGAATACCAGGGTTCCCATCGGCTGGGGCAAGGAGACAGCAGGAAAAAGAAAGGGGGTTGTAAGAGGAAAAACAAGATTCAAAGGGATCCTGAAGCATTACAGAGCAGGGAAGTTCCCCTGACTGAGCCCATCCCTTGCTGGAGCCAGGAGAGGGGGACCCT